TCAAGTTGTGCGGGTTCTGATAATGAGTGCGCGCCCGCACACCTTCCCTGCGCGCCCGTACAAAGGTAGAGCTAACCTTCTGCCTTGAACTCCAATTTGTGAATAAATCTGTGCGGGTTCTGACAGTGCCTGCGCGCCCGCACACTTCACCCTGTGCGCCTACATAGATGTCATGCACAGGGTCGCACAGAGTAAAATTCGATTTATTTCTCCTCACATCTTCGAAATTGAAAATCCTTGTTCCTTCATCATCCAAACACCTATCAACCAAAAGGGGGAAGAATCAAATTCAAATTCAAATTCAAAAAAAAGAAAGTGAAATCGGAATATTTTAAAAAAATACATAGAAAGGAGTTAGAAACTCGTGTTGCCTCTCGAGAAGCACTTCTTTATGAGGTCACTAGCTTGACCATGAGAAAAATTCTTCAAGTGGGAGGCTTGGGATCCAAAAGATCAAGCATTATACATTCGATGATACCAACTTCTTCCTTGCAAAAGTAATGCTTTAAACGTTGACCATTAACCATTAACTTGTTACCATCCGCGTCTAACTCAAATGAGCCATATAAGGAGTAGTCTTTGATATCACAAAAGGACCCGACCACTTTGATTTGAGTTTACCCGGAAACAAACGAAGCCTTGAGTTGAAAAGCAAAAACTTGTCTCCAACCTTAAAGTTCTTGTTTCGAACATGTTGGTCATGCCAATTTTTGGTCTTCTCCTTATATATAACCTTGAGCTCTCATAAGCATCATCTCTAAGCTCTTCAAGTTCATTGAGCTTAAGAAATCTCTTCTCACCGGCCAACGATAAATCCATATTAAGCTCTTTGATGGCCCACCAAGCCTTGTATTCTAACTCAACCGGCAAGTGACAAGCCTTTCCATAGACCAACCTATAGGGGGTCGTGCCGATTGGAGTCTTGTACGCCGTCCTAAGCGCCCATAGTGTGTCATCAAGTTTGAGAGACCAATCTTTCCTTGATTTTTTCACCATCCTTTCAAGAAGATTTTTGATTTCACGATTCGAGACCTCCACTTGTCCTTGAGTTTGAGGGTGGTAAGGTAATCCAACCTTGTGATGAACGCCATACCTCTTGAGAAGAGCTTCAAATTGCTTTTTGGCAAAATGGGAGCCTCCATCATTAATTAGCACCCTCATAACTCCAAACCTAGGAAAAATGATCTTCTTTAGAAGCTTAAGCACAACCTTGTGATCATTGGTAGGTGAGGATATGGCTTCAATCCATTTCGTCACATAATCGACCGCTACCAAGATATATAGATTCCCACAAGAAGAAACAAAAGGCCCCATAAAATCCACCCCCCAAACATCGAAGGGTTCAACTTCTAAAACACTTTGTTGGGGCATTTCGTCCCTCTTGGTAATGCCTCCGCTCCTTTGACATCTATCACATTGCGCAACGAATTGGTGGGCGTCTCTATGCATCGTCGGCCACCACAATAAAGATTGAGAGATTTTTTCCACTGTTTTGTCAACACCACCATGTCCTCCACATGGTAGTGATTGGCAATGCTCAAGAACTCGTTGAATTTCATGATCTGGAATACACTTCCGATAAAGGCCATCTCACATTTCTTGAATAGGTATGGGTCATTCCAAAAGTACCTTCTCACTTCCTTGAAAAACTTCTTCTTTTGTTGAGAAGAATACTCCGGGGGAACGACTCCACATGCAAGATAGTTGGCTATATCCGCGTACCAAGGGGTACAAGTTGACACCAAAGCCATTAGAGCCTCGAATCCTATCTCATCATTAATCGGTACATCCTCCTTGTTCTCAAAAGGTATCCTAGACAAATGATCCGCTACATAGTTCTCCGAACGCTAACATCTCTTTCTCCGTTGTTGTGTAATTCTTTTGAGCCTCATCTAGAGTCCTACTTGCATAGTAGATGACACATGATTTTCCTTGTTTCTTTTGACCAAGAACGACACCTACTGCAAAGTAACTAGCATCGCACATTAGCTCAAAAGGCAAGCTCCAATCCGGAGCTTGCACCACGGGAGAAGAAATGAGAGCTTCCTTGAGCTTACAAAACGCCTCAAGGCAAGCCTCATTGAAGCTAAAAACAACCTCTTTTTTGAGTAATTCGGTCAAAGGTTTGGCGATTGAAGAAAAATCTTTGATAAACCTCCGGAAAAAACCGGCATGCCTAAGAAAAGCCCGTACCCCCGTGATGGAAGTAGGAGGGGGCAACTTTTCAATCACCGAAACCTTGGCTGGATCAACCTCAATGCCATTTTTTGAAACCTTATGGGCGAGGACAATGCCCTCCTCGACCATAAAATGGCACTTTTCCCAATTTAAAACCAAAATCATCTCTTGACACCTTTTCAAAACTTTTTCAAGGTTAAAAAGACAAGTGTCAAAAGACAAGCCACCAACACTAAAATCATCCATGAAAACTTCAATTTCTATTTCAAGCATCTCAGAGAAAATGGAAGTCATGCATCTTTGAAAAGTAGAGGGAGCATTTCATATTCCGAATGGAATTCTTCGGTATGAAAATTTCCCATATGGACATGTGAAAGTAGTTTTCTCTTGATCACTTGGATGGATAGGGATTTGGAAAAATCCGGAATACCCATCCAAGAAACAAAAGAAAGCATGGTTAGAAAGCCTTTCAAGCATTTGGTCCATGAAAGGGAGAGGAAAATTATCTTTCTTGGTGTTTTTGTTCAATCTCCTATAATCAATGCACATTCTCCACCCGGTCACCGTCCGGGTGGAGATTTCCTCTCCTTTTTCATCCTTGATTATCGTCATTCCACCTTTCTTTGGAACTACATGAACCGGGCTAACCCATTTGCTATCAAAGATAGCATAGATGATGCCCGCCTCACGTAGTTTCAAAATTTCTTTCTTCACAACCTCTTGAAGGTTGGGGTTCAACATTCTTTGAGGTTTAATGGAGGTGGAATGATCATTTTCAAGATGAATATGATGCATGCATAAAGAAGGGATAATACCTTTGATATCATCAATGCTATACCCTATCACATCCCTATATTTTCTTAAAACATCAAGAAGTTTTTCCAAATTAAGATCATCTAGGGTAGCATTGACAATAATAGGGTATTTTCCCTCCTTATCAAGAAAAGCATATTTCAAAGAAGGGGGAAGGGGCTTGAGTTCTACCTTGGGAGGAGCCTTAGAACTCTCCTCCAATTTCTCCTCCTTGGACTCAAGCTCGATCTCAACTTGTTGTTCAACTTCCTCCTTTGAGGATTCCTCCATTGCCATGACAAACTCTTTAGCCTCTTGAGAGTGGAACTCTTCCTTGCATGTAAGGGCTTCTGTCATTGGATCTTGAGGCCTCATCACGATCCTCCCCAAGAGATCTAGCTCCTCATTCACGACATCAACTCTATAGCATTTTTCAACCATGGGGGTCTTGAGCAACTTAAAAAACTCGAAGACAATCTTTTCATCGGCCACCTCAAATGTGATGGTGTTGTTCTTGCAATTAATGACCGCCCCCAAAGTTTTAAGAGATTCACGTCCCAAAATCAAAGGAGTGTTAACATCTTCCTCCATATCCATCACTACAAAGTCACAAGGAACGTAGATGTGTCCCACTTGAATTGGAACATTCTCAAGCTCTCCACAAGGTAATTTCACCGACCGATCGGCCAATTGAATTGTCTTCCTTGTAAGGATCATCTCTATATTGAGTTTTTGAGCAATGGATAGAGGGATTAAACTAACACTTGCTCCAAGATCGGCTAAGGCGCTCCTAGCTTCCATGTTCCCAATTTTCACTGGCAAAGTGAAACTTCCAAGGTCTTTTTCCTTCTTGGGCATCTTATGTTGGACAAGAGCACTCACTTGATGTGGAAGGGTGATAAGCTCGTCATTGAGATTCCTCTTGTTGGTGAGAATATCTTTGAGGAACTTGGAGTAAGATGGCATTTGTGTCACAACTTCAAGAAAAGGGAGGTTGATATGAAAATTCTTCATGACACTAAGAAATTTTGTGAACTTATCATTCCACTTCCTCTCCGCAAGCCGACCGGGAACCGGCCCATCAAGATTCCTAGCCTTACTAGGAATTGAAGTTGTCTTCTCATTGTCAAGCTTCTTCTTCTCTGAACCTCCTTCTATCTCATCACCCTTTTCTTTCTCACCTCCCTTGTTTTCATTCACACTCTCCTCTCCTCCCTTGTTTTCCTCACTATCCCCTTCATTTGGCCCTTCATAGGAAGTTCCCAACCTCAATGTGATCGCCTTGCATGTATCGGGTTTTGGATTGTGAGATGGGTTAGGTTGTGGTTGCCCGGGTAGAGTGGATGGTGAATTGAAAGGAGTTCTCTCGGCCAATTCAGCTAGTTGTGAATCAACCATCTTGTTGTGAGCTCTTATCTCTTGCATTTTTTGCCCAAAAGGTTTCACTTGCGCATGCATGGCTTGGAGGAGTTGAGTTTGAGTTAGATCCGCTTGAGGTGCTTGTTCTTAATGATTTCTTTGAGGTGTTTGTGTTTGATTGTTGTATTGGTTGTTCCTTGGATAGCTTCCTCTTGGGTTTTGGGGTTGAGATGGAGGTGGATTTTGATATTGAGGGTTGGAGTTATAGGAAAGTTGAGCTTGTTGGTTCCATTTTTGAGGTTGAGGTACAAACCCGGGTGGTGGTTGTCTCCAAGCTACTCCATCGCCGCTTCCTCTAAATCCCTCTTGCCTTGTGTTGTATGCCGCTACATGTTCGGGGCTTAAACCTCCACAATAGGATGTATCATGGTTTGTTCCTCCACAATTTTGACAAGAGAAAGAGTTAACTTGAGAAGAGCTTGCTCCACCACTTGAACTTGCATTCACACTCGTGTTCAATTTGGAAAGCCCTTTTGTTAGTTGATCAATTTGATGTTGTAATTGATCAACTTTCTCCAATTCGTAAATACCACCTCTCTTTGGAGTGTTTCTTCTTCGATCCCCCCAAGAGTAATTCTTCGTACCTCTTCTATCGTGGCTTCAACTTGATTTTAAGGGATCTTGATTAATTGACCACCCGCCCCCGCATCCAAATTGGCTCTTGACATGGGCTCCAATCCGTCGTAGAAAAACCGCATGAGCAACCCTTGATTGTACTCATGGTGGGGACATGCTTGTACCAACTCCTTCAATCTCTCCCATGCTTCACCAAGACTTTCATCGGCATCTTGCTCAAATGATGCAATTTTCCTTCTCATTTCGGCGGTCTTCTCCTCGGAGATTAAGCGCTTCAAGAACGCCTTTAACACATCCTTCATGTTATGAGAGTGTTAGGCTTTACTTGCTTTAGCCATTTCTTTGCTCGTTCGGTGAGAGATTGCCGGAAAAGGTGCATACGAATGTAGTCTTGACTCACTTCATTGGTTTGCATAATTGCCCACAATTCAAGGAATCGGTCCAAATGTTCAATAGGATCCTCACTTGCACTTCCGGAAAATTGCTTCGATTGGACCATTAGAGTATATTGTGGATGGATTGAGAAATTGGTTTCCGTGACGGGCAGCAAAATCCCTCCCGTGAGCTCATAATCCTCCGGATTTCCGAACTCACGAAGCAAAACATCATTCTCTTGCCCCACCATTGATCCGCGTGGTGAACTTGAAGAGTAAGTATCACTCTCACTATCAACTATCAACTATATCACCAAAACCTCTTCCCTCGTCTTGATAAAGCCTACGGACTTGTCTTAAGGTTCGGTTGATTTCGTGGTGAATTTTATGTGAGGGTGCTCCTTGAGACCTCCTGAGCATTCACCAAGGCTAAGCAAACAATTAGCAATGACAAGGATGATAAAAAAAAAATTAAAAAAAAAAAAGTAAAATGACTCTAACAAAAGCAATAATAGACGCTAAACAAGCCGCTTCCCCGGCAACGGCGCCAAAATTTGATCACGGGTTAGATAGGTCGTTAAGCTACTACCCTAACCTAATTAATCATTTATAATACCTAAACCTACACTAAACTAGTTAATGGCAAGTAAAGGGTCGAACCACTAGGGAAGCACGCTAATTCAACATCAAATATCACTAATGCAAGAGTGAAAAGGGGATTGTTTGGTTTTGATGAGTAAGAACACTAAAACTACAAATAAGCAAGAAAATGATGATTAAAATCAATAGAAAATGACGCTAGGGATACGGGGGTGTCCAATATGATTAGAAAGAGGAGAATAATGGTGATTATCATGAAACATATGCCAAAGAACACAAGATTCTACCTAAACAACTCATTCTCATGCAATAGTCTAGGCAAATCAATGAAAGAGGTCTGCACTAATAAGGATCATTCTCATGCATCCTATTAGTTACAATCAAATCAAGAGAATAAAGAAGCACAATCAATAAAAACTCCAATTTAATAACTCATTCTCATGCAATCATTAAAATAGAGATGATCCTAATCTAGTTCAAATCACTTTCATGCATTTAAACTAGAAAACATCAAATAGAGTGCAACAATAATCCCAAGCTAATAAAAATCATGTCTTTCATCAATATATGGCATAAGTTCAATCCAACCATCATCATTCATCCAATATCAAATCATATCTTCCACCCCCTTTCCCTAGCTAAAAGTTTAACCTAGAGAAGGGATATTAAACATAATATCAAAACTAGAAATAAACTCAAGAAACTCAAAACAAAACATGATTAAAATCAATGAAATCAATAACAACTAGATAAGCTAATAAGATTGACAAGAATAAGTAACAATAAAACAAATAAATAATACTAAAGGAAAGGAGAAGAGATTACTAAAGAAAGGATTAATGAAAGATGAAAACTTGGATTCTTGCTTGATTGATGGAAGACTAAAACTTGAGTAAAGTTGAATACAATAAAGGATGCTTGAATAACATTCTATTTTCTCTCTCTAGATTAGGCTAATGTTCTATGGAATTAGTACTAAGTATCCTCTATTTCAAAGAGTCGTGTCCACCATATATATGTGGCTCCCCCAAAAGAAAGATACTTGGACAACAAGGCGCAAATAAATCAGAAACCATGTCGTGCGCACCCGCACACGACATATGCGTGCCCGCGCAGTAGGTGTGTGCGCCCTCTCAGCGTAGTGCGCGGTCACACCTTTGAGGGTACGGGAAAATAAGCGTGCCCGCAGAGTAGGCCTGCGCGCCCGCGCATCAGGTCGCGCCCCCGCACAGAATCTGCACAACAAGTCGTGCAAACTCTTTGGTTAGAATTTGTTCACTACAAGAAAAATGTCTTTTCGTAGCGATTATGTCTTAGTGATTGTACATTCGCTACAATATGCAAGTATGTTTGTGAAATAATTAATGAAGTCATATCATTTTACAATCGCCATGGTTTTCCAATATAAAATCGATATGGAAAACATTATAATACATATATCCACACTATTTTTACACATTTATAAACTTTTGAGAAATCGTATCATTTACAATTGCCACTAAATCCTAAAAATCGATACGAAAAGCCTTTTCAACACTAGATATATAAATATTATTTGCTAAAGAATACATAAAATATGTCATAACTTATCGGTGAAACATTTAATATAAGAGTTTGAGGTTGCATGTTTGAATCTTGTAAAGATCATACGCATGTTTTTTTTTTTTAGAAAATGAGTTAAACATTTGTAGCAATTGTAATCGCTATAATAATCACCACAATTGGATGTAGTTTTTCGTATCGATTATTGAGGCCAACCCCAGCGATATTGAAAACCACTACTAAAGGCTAAGGCAACGGGGGATATTGTATCGAATGACCATTCGTTGGGAAAGCTTTTTGTTGCAATTACAATCGATACTAAAGGTTAAAATAATCGCTACAAAAAGGTTATTTTCTTGTAGTGGTTTCTTCAGCCTGGCTGCGCGGGTTCTGACAGGGTTGTGCGCCCGCACAGCCAAAGGTGCGCGCCCGCACAGCAGCCGCACAGCACCCCGCGCACAACAGTTAGCTTGGCTTCTTGGTATCCTCTTTCTTTCGGCACATAATACCTACAAAACAAAAGCATGGAAATCAAAATAAAAACAAAGCGAGAAGACTAAGAAAAGGGAAGATAAAGGAGAAAAGAAAAGAGGAAGCAAAACTAAGTAAAAATGCTTAGAAAAAGGGGCAAACAAGTGCAAATGAGGGGAGAATCCTTAGAGAAAAAGGATAAAAGTGTGGCATAAATACCACTCAACTCTCTTTATAATAACAAAATACACACGTTAGTAACTTCAAGGAAAATAATAAATCAAACAATTAAATTAAAGAATTATTGATATAGAGTTTTGGGACTAAACCCTCAGAAATATCAAACCTTTCACGTCTAGGGCGAAGGCAACTTCAAACTTGGCTAGGTGTTTCTAGGACTAATGAGTGAGGAATTTTGAGAGAGGGAAGGTTTAGAAAAAATAATATAGAGAGAAAGCTTCTAGCTTTTAGAGAGAGAGAGAATAGAATTAGAGAATTCAGGGTGATTTGAAAACAGGGAAATACGACCCTTATTTATAGGAAAAATAGCACGGGATCGAAGAAAATCATATTCGGAATAAAATACCTCCTGTCGCCAACAACAGGAGCCAGCGCCAGATGACAAGATACTAGGAAGGTCAGCGCCGGGCGACGACTCTGTCGTCTCGCGCTAGTTCAAAAGTACAAGGTGCTTTTACACGCGGAATCATTTTAAAATCTTTCTGCGTCTAAGCAGATTTAAAATCAGATTTAAAATCTTATTAGAATTAAAGAGAACCTTCTAGACATTCCTAGAAGATTAAAATCAATCTTAATCACTTTAGGAATAATAATTGATAGACCCTCCTCTAGATCATTAGGCCACATTTAAAATCATTGGGCCTAATTTAATTTCATCCATAATTTCCTCATAATTCATCGGAATTGGGCTTATAATATATCATTGTAATTCTCTTTTCGAGACCAATCCAACTACACTATTATTGGACCCTTATCATGGAACAAACTAAATTGGACTGGCTATTTTTCATAAACAGAATAAGTAAAGAAATATTTATGATAACAGAAAGAGAAATATTTCAATAAAAACATCCTCATCATTTAACTTTCCACACTTTCACTTTGTTCGATAATCAAATGACGTGAAAGGTATTCATCACTGGGTTTGATTTTAGGGAGACACATTTGGGTGTCTACACTCCGATACCGCTGTTGGGTTTCGGAAAGTCCGACTTTCTGCGAAACAAAACCAGACTTTAAGACCCGCTCACAATAAATATAACTAAAATACATAATTAACAAGATAAAGTAAAAGGACAATAATATCCTTGATGCGCGCTTCGCTCGTTCGATGAGCTCTTACATGGAAAGCTTTGATTCCCACACTCGCGTAGACCTTCGGCAAAAATCCACCCTCAACTCGACCCGTCCGGTCTCTACTCGGAGTTTAGCCGAGCTAGACCAAAAATAAACTAACTTGAGTTTTAATGAACTTAAAAGTTTTCTCTCTTTAGAGATGCCTTATTGAGTTCAACTCAAGTGGAATTCTCAAATCCCAATACATGGGTATTTATACAGAATTTTCACTAAACATTCTACTCTCCCATTAATGTGGGAGACTTGGTAAAAATCATTTTTCCATTTTATTTTTAATTCAAAATAAAAAGAAAATAACAAAGCAATAATTAATCAACAAGTGGCAACAAGGAGAGGGTAGGTGAGGACCATTAGGGGGGACCAATGCCTTGCTCCCAAAGCCTCACCAACTGGTTCCCTTACACAGCGCCACGTGGCGCCCAGCCTTGAGCACCAAAATGCGCCCAACTGGCGGTTGGGCCTGCTCGTGTGTTTGTGAGGGTTTTGTCAGCTCACGCGCGCACTTGCCCGCACATCACGCAGCCTGCACGCATTTCGTGCTTGCGGTACTGCTGTTGTGCTTGCATGGCTTGGCCTAGCACGGTGTGCGTGCACACGGGTTGCTGGCCGCAAGGCCTGCAAGCCTGCCTTTACAAGCCACACTATGATATGGGCTGCTAGGTGCTATTGTGCGGGCACTTGCGCGCCACAACTTGCTAGCCACTCCACCAGCACGCACATGTGCGCAGAAAACCACGCACATAGTGTAGGCTGCTAGTGCGCTTATGTGCAGCTGGTGCTGCTAGCAATGCTAGCGTTCCAAGATGCTATGCCCCTAGCACTCGGTTTGCTCGGGGCATTCCGATGTAAGGCGTATTTTTGTAATTTGTTGATTAATTGATTTTTTACGTCTTGTCGTTTTATTAATTCGACTCGACTTGCGACGCTCAATCTAGACGCTCTTAGCTCGATATCCGACGTTAATGTTCATAATACTCTAGCGACTCATTAATTCCTTTCGGATTAATTCTTCATGACAGATCATTAGTTTCTTGGGTGTGACCTAAAGGTTTCAGTCAAGATTAAACTATATTAGTAGTTATACATTAATATTACTAATCGGAAGCGGCCTCCAACTAGGCATTTCGATCACTTGATCTCACTAAATAATTAGCTTTCTAATAACTCCGAACCCTCTATTGGAATAAGACATCATTCCTATCACCAATGAATAATTAAATTTCCAATGATATATAAGCCCAATTCTGATGAATAATGAGGA